GTAAAATGGGAACTGTAGTAGTCCCTTCACTTTTAGAGGCATTATTAGGATTCAGCGAGCTCACACAGGCAAAGCACCTAGACAGTGCCTGGCACACTGTAAGGAACCAATGACAGTAGTGATAGGAGAAGTGGTATTTGTTTCTTAGGGAGATCATTCTAGCTACACTGTGGAGGGTAAATTAAATAGGCACAAAAACAGAAGAGTTAGGAAGATACAAATTAAGGAAAGGACCCTAGAAATAAAGAGAAGTGGAGAGACTGACAAGACATAAAAGAGGCACAAAAATAGGGTCTGAGGACAGACTGGGAGCAGCTGAGTGGGGGAAAGAGAAGTAAAAAATAAACACAGAGTCCTTGGCTTGGAAAGGGGCTTAAGTAGGAGCATCCACTGAAATAAGACACACCAGAACAACCAACCCCGGTTACTCAGGTAACAGGGCAGGCATACTAATACAAAAATGAGTCTGAATCACAAAAGAGGAATACCTCAAAATACCACAGCAGATAAAACATTTTATTTGCATTATGGAGAAAGTACATCAGAGAAAAGGAAAAGGGCATCTGAGGCATATGAAATGGCCCAGAAGCATGAAAGGCCTGCAGTTTGTGTGAAAATAGGAAAAGCACTGCAAGACTGAAGGTAAATAGGACATATGAGCTGGGGTCAACTCTTCATAATCTTCTTTCCTATCCAAATGGTCTTAATGATTTCTGATGTCTTGGCCATTACTAAAAGATCATGGTTCCATGGTCCTATGACTTCTGCTGATAGCCATGCTGATAAAAAGAAATCTTAAACACAGTTTAAGATTTTCATAAAAATGACAAACTAAAAAGTAACAGTTTTGCCAGTTAAACAGCAGATATCCACTGTAGTCATTCATCAACTAATGGCACAGAAAGCACACATGACAGAAGAATTTCTACATATTAGTACTTCTTATGCTATTAAATTATAAATCTTCCTGAAGGTCTATAAGCAGTAAAATTCTCAAACTTGTTATTCACCTACAAAAACGATATTCTATATAAAGCAGTTTTATCTATGCCTCATCGTAAGTTAATAAACATTCCTGGCCTTGCAATACTTCAACAAAGCTACTGGTTCACACTTATGGAGTGTTTTCCACATGCCAGGCGTGGTGCTAAGCGCTTTACAGACTTCACATCATTTCATGCTTACCCCGTAATTCTGTCAGATCAGTAAAATCAGTCCCCTTTTGCAAATGAGTAACTAAGAGAGATTAAGTCCTTATCTAAAGCAACACTTCACACAATCTATAAATATAGAGTTAGTATTCAAACACTTACCTCTTTGATGCCAGCATTTATAAGATTTTATTTCTGACCCCTCTCTAAAAGTGTATTTTTCTCACAAAGATTGACTCCTCTCACTCAAGAAACACAGACTAACCATTGCCCGAAGAGGGCCTGCTATATGCAAGCAGTAAAGCTATAGAAACATGAACCATGAATATGACAAGCAGAGAGTGGGGGAGGGGGGGAATTAAGCATTCTGAAAAAGAGCCTGAAGCCATTAAGTATAAATGTGAACAAAAGAGAACTAAGGGCAATGGAGAGATTACCTTGATAGCAGCAAAAAGAAACAAAATTACTCTTTTTATACAGAAGCTGTGAACCTCTCACAGATGTATGAAGGAATACTGCTAGTATCAGTGGCATGGATGGGAAGACTTGGTCTGCGTTTATCTTCTCAGCCAGAGCCCTCAATGTATTTACAAAACATAAATCTGACATCAATTCAGTCTATTTAGCAATCCTCAAATTTGCTCACAGCTTTGTATTTCCTCAGGCTTGTAAACACGTCTCCATTCTTCTCCAATCCCCAAAGTCCCATCCACCACTTACACAAAGATAATTCGACATTTCTTGGAGGGACAAAAAGCAAATTCATCCTCTTGTCACTATTCCTCTCTACCCCATACCCCACAGAGCACCCCTGCATGCAGCCTCTTTCCTCCTTCCCCCTTACACTCATCTTCGTTTTCACTCCTAATGTAACCAACCCTTTCAGTTCCTTCTGCTGCCCTCAGCTGAACTACTAAAATAGCCAACTAATTTCCGTGTTTCCGGTTTATCCCACAACCAATCCACAGGGAAATCTCTTCCCGACTAACCTTCCTAACATACTTATTTTGCTATAGCACACTCTCCTCAAGTTCATCTGAAGGACCAACTCTTTAGCAAGGCCTTTAATGTTACCCAGACCTGGCTCCATTTACATTTACAGTTTCATTTCCTACTTCCCTATACAAAATTCGCCACTGTACCCCCCCCAAAAAAATCAATTTACAGCCCCTGAAATGTGACTTTGAACTATCCCACTGGTTCTACCAACTAAAGAAGACATACTCGAGGAGCCTGTAACAAATCAACAACTATGATGAACCAACAACTCCATGTAGTAGAACCAAAGGGTAATGAATTGATACTATTTCTTTGGATTAAATAACACAATGATTTCAAATTATAAAGATAATGAGGGGAAAAGAACCGTTCTGATAAACTATTTTTACAAGAGCTAAAATAAAATAAGTGAGTAGGATCTGGGTCAGCATTCCAAGCAGAAAGAATATAGCTTCATTGCTAATAGCACATGGTTTTGAGTTAGACAAACTTGCCTTCAAATCTTAGCTCTGCCTCTGATAAGCAATGTGATCTCAGATAAGTTTCTTAACCCTCACTCTGGGGCATGATTCTATCTCCTAGCAGTACCGGGTGAGTTTGAAGATAAAATGAATTACGCACATAAAGTACATAGCATACTGCCCAGTGCATGGTAAGAGCTAAACAAAGAGCTTATTAATAATTATTATTACTGAAGCAAGTATCAGATCCAGTGAAAAGGCTGTTTAGCAAGAAGTAGACAGTATACTAGTAAGTGCTAAGAAAGATGAGAAATATACACAGAGTACTTAAATCATCTGTAGTATTCAGAATATTCACCAGAAAGCATACAGCAAAACCATTCTTCAAGGCCCTTGGCTAGATTCCCATATGAAGTTTGGTTTCTTCAGATATAATGTGAAGTGTTTAGACAAAATGGTATCTAAAGCTCCTTTCAATCCTAACCTTCAAAAAAGTGTATAAGAATTGCTATGAACTAGAATTCTAAACATTCATCACCATTACCCAGTTAACTACTTTTACATTTTACTAGGTATACAAAGGCTTATTAATGTTCTACTGGCCTCACAAATTTGGAAAACAAAACAACATTTCAGTCCCAACTAAAAAATCCCCATCACCAGTTTATCAGTCACAGAGGGACAGCAATAGTCTCGCTGAAAAATTTCCTGTAGCTGAACTCAACAAGTACCTGATGCCCCTACATGAACCCAAAGTGAGGAGTCTTCAAATTTCCTAGGAATTCTCAGGGGCAGTTTAAGAAGTAGAAAATAAAACACAACAGAAAACATGACCTGGACGGGAGGTTTGTTCTTGGGTCAGTGGACAAGAAAGAATCGAGAATACCAAGAGAAGAAGAGTATTTCAAAATGCTAAATGAGTCAATAAGGCTCTAACCTAACTATACATTACTTTAAAATAAACCCAATTATACATCATATATCCAAATCATATCTTCACTGTAGGGACCTCTTTTGCATACTTAAGATACTTATAAATCTATTCTTTCTCTAAAGAGCTAAAAACAAATTAAGAGTGCATACCCGTCTTTTTATGTGAAAAATAGTCAAGGATTGCATTAGATTGAATTAATAGTTAACATGCGCATTTACTGGGACGCCTGGGTGGCTCAGTCAGTTAAGCGTCTGTCTTTGGCTCAGGTGATGATCCCAGTGTCCTGGGATCGAGTCCCATATTGGGCTCCTTACTCAGTAGCAGGAGCTCTCCCTCTGCCTGCTGTTCCCCCAGTTTGTGCTCACTCTCTCTCTGACAAATACATAAATCTTTTTAAAAAATGCCCATTTACTGATTTTTTTCAGTGTAACTTCCTAGTCTTACATATAGATTTTCATAAGTAGAAAGTTATCCTTTCACATATCAAAATCACTTTCGGTATACTTATTTCTGAATGAACTGTTTTAAACAAATATTTTTCTGTATACTTATTTCTGAATGAACTGCTTTAAACAAATACTTTTGTCAGCTTTCAATTTTATAAATTAGGAGAATTTTAAGAATCGTATCTGTGAACTTATGGTTAAGCTTATACTAGTAAATTTTTTAATTTTAACAGTGACAAGAGTGTTTTATACCATTTCTTTGCAGGCAAAAAAATAAAAATATGTTCATCAGATTTCCATAAAAACTGAAATCTGTATTTCAACCATGTATTATACAATTTATTTCAAAATGATAAATCTATAATATAAAATTTTAAAGATTTTTCTATTTACATACATCATGTCAAAATAACTCATAATTTTGGTCATACTAAATACTTAAGGAACTATAAAAGGCTATAATGCAAAATACAAATGGAATAAACTCATTCTGAAGTCTCATTTTCTTTTAAGAAAGTAAAGCTACAGATAAGAATTACATAAAAATAAGAAAATATCATCAATTCAACATATATGTAAATGATTCAGACATCACTGTAAAAGGAGAGAACTAACCACTTATTTACAGCAGTTACTACTTCAAGTAGACAGAAATAATAGGAGGGTAATTCAACAAAGTATGGTATTGTCAAGGTTTTTTGATGGGAAAAATTTTTAAATGTTTCCAAATATGGTCCATTGATAGATTAAAAGAGTGTAAGAATATGCTGAAACTGTAAACATTCAGTTCTTACTAGTTTTAACATAAAGGCTTCCTCATCACCCATCTACTTGGTAACTTTAAAAGATTTTCCATATACATTCTGCACACATGGTGATTTTTTCCTCACAACTGGTGAAGAGAAAATATTGATAGCAATTCATGTGTAGTAGTAGTTGCTGCAGTAACAGCAGTAATAACCATAGTACTCCAATTATAAACGTTTTTTAAAAATTATGTGGTTCCAACCTGGTCGCCAAAGTCCTCTGGGAATTTCCACAATACCACAGGATCTGTAAATAATTGACACATGGCATTAAACAGAGGCAAAAGAGCACATTACACCAACATTCTTGTTAAAACATTGTCAGAGATACTTTTTAAATAATTTTTAAATTTCTCTTTAAACATTTACAGTTGACGAGATTAAAAATAAAGGATTTTGATCTTTTAAGCATTTTAATGACCTTTGGGAACAGGAACAAATAAAATTAAAATAACTGTCAGATTATTAAAACTCATTATTTCTTTTCATAACTCTATTTAGATACTTTACATTTTAAGATTCTGAAATATGAATTTTCAGATTTAACTACACTTAACATATTGGTTTTAATTTGAAAAGAAAAATATAAATGTGGTAAATATGTAATATATTATATATATATCATAGTTCTTAAAAAGTAGACCAAAATATATCATCTTAAATTTCCATTTAAAATCCTAAATATTTATGAACACTGTAATAATGCTTGCTTTATATCAAAATTCACTTTTGAAATCCCATATTTGCAACTCTATGAAGTGAAGCCTTTTATAAAATAACAGATATAAGTTGGTAGTTCTAAGGCATCAAGCTTACTTAAAAACAACTGATTATTTGCAGGGCATTTTAAAGAAATTTTTCTAATATATCAAGTTATTCATATATAAAAACCAATGTTGTTTTATAAATATTCTCACTGATTTTTCATTTTCATCATTTCTCACAATATTTCTTTTCTACTTAGTATATTAAAAATAAGTCCTTTTAATTAGCACTAATAAATATTTTGGTTGTGTGCTCATTTCTTAATAGTCTCAAAAACAGGGCGCCTGGGTGGCTCAGTTGGTTAAGCGACTGCCTTCAGCTCAGGTCATGATCCTGGAGTCCCGGGATCGAGTCCCGCATCGGGCTCCCTGCTCAGCGGGGAGTCTGCTTCTCCCTCTGACCCTCTTCCCTCTCGTGTTCTCTATCTCTCATTCTCTCTCTCTCAAATAAATAAATAAAATCTTTAGAAAAAAATAGTGTCAAAAACAAACCTCTGAATATCTGTAGATGGGCTTTAAAAGGATAGTGTACAATGGATAATATTACTTCTGTAAAAGCCTTTGAAAGCTCAAGATAATATAAGTAACAAGTACCACTGATATAACAGAATTTGAATTCCACTCCAAGTAAAAAGGGCAGACCAAAGACATCACTTTATGTTCTCAATAAGTTCTATTTCATTATTTCCACTATTCCATGTTGCTTTTATAAAAATACAGTCCAAGAATGCGTAATTCCAGGTTTTTAATTCCAAAACTCAATAATTACCTAGCAACATTTTTAGTATGAGCTATCTCCTCTTGCTGTATTACTTATTAAGTTCAAAAGCATTTTTTTCAATTATTTTAAATTAAAAAGAAAAGAAAGCATACTTTCTATAATTAACCTTTTTACTTAGTAAGGAATAGAAGGTTCCCATATAAGTCAATATAAATAAATCATTTAAAACATCTTATATAAAAATAATGCATTACAAATTCACAATGATAATATTAAATATCTCTTCATGTAAAACAAAGTGTACATTTCTAAAATGAAGGACATGCATTATAGGTCACCTAAAAATACTCAAGACATGGAAGATTATGTTGGAAAATATATATGGGTGAGTTATGAGTGTGTGTTTTATTGGAAAATATGTACGTGTGAGTCAGTTTTACCAAAATGATAATTATCAAGATTTGAATCGCATAAAACAAAAGTGTTATGATGGAATCTTCATGAAATATTGGTATTATTTTGATAAAGTTAATATACTAATGGCCACATAAGTAAATCAATTATACAGAAATGCAGAATAGTTCTCTCATAAATAATGGAGTTAAAGAGTTTCAATGTGAATATTTAAAACATCCCTTTTGAACAACCTCAATTTTATAGTTGTCATTTAAGAAAATGTTTGTGATAAATTTCTTACACTTATGTCTTAAAACCAGCATGTTTACCTTGTACAGATAATGCTTTGCCCCTATTGTTCACAGCATTTACCCACGTATGTTCTATTAATTCACTTTTTCTCATCTTCTATTAATGCTGTTGTTTTTTTTTTCCAGTATTGCCTATTCTTTCACAGAGAGAAGGAACAAGTGAATTCATAAAAATAACATCTACTGGCTTATATTCAGTGAAAAATATCCTATTTCTTTTCATTAAATGAAATTTCCACTTCAGCAAAAATTTACTGTAACGTGAATCCATATTTTGAAATGGATTAACTTAGTTACTGCCTGTGTTGTTAGACATACACCGTATCTGACACATCTCTGTAGAAACTTTTCACAAGTACTGCAAAGGACGAAAAAAAATGGCTCTTAAAAAGAAATAATAACCTGATTCTCAAATGTATGCACAAAGACTGGATTTTTCTATTCCCTGAGAACTACTGTCTCCCTATCAGATCTGACCTGGAGGGCTTAAGTAGGTTTTCTGCTTGTTTTATGGATGGAAGGATGAGAACCACTGGCAGAAATCACTGCTGCTGGTGAGGTCTGAAGCACACTGCGTCCCTTCTCACCAATGCCTACTACTAATTCAAGAGAGACTCTGGATCTTAATTTTAAAGCAATCTTTGCCACCAACAATCTAGGAACCAAATAAATATGAAAGGAAGAATGCATGATTTGATTCGTGCATAAATGCAGTTAGTCTCTTATTTTAATAAGAGATGTTACAGTATAGGAAGGAAAATATAAAAATTTTTATTAAGTCAGTAAATTTGGAGTAAGAATATTTAAAATATTATTTGTGCATCACCATCACAAGTATTCCAAATTCATGACTAAGGCTTTTTTAAAATGTAAAGTGAGATAAATTCAGCAATTTTGTTTTTTTCCCCTTTGCAATCAGGTCTTTCACATTTTCCAGCCCTTCAATGAAAACAAGAACTAAAATAACAAAATATTAATGTGATTCAACTATTTTATTAAAAAATGGAAGGCAAACTTTTCAATTTGCATAAATGAATATTTATGAAATTCTGTGGAATTCACAGATGAACCTTTAAAATTATGCATTTGTAAAATCACAGTTCAGAGACTATATACTTTTGAAAGGTAGAATATATATTAGTAAGTAATATGATGGATTATACCTTTCAGTGTTTGATTTACCTGCCTTGCAGAATCAGGATTTTATGAATGAGAAAACCAAGGCCAAAACAAGGAGGAGTTTGTGTTAGTTATAAGGCTAGTCAATGGGAGAGACTAGAACTTCCTTAGTTGAGATCTAAAGAGCAGCTATTTTATTTTGTTTATTTGAGAGAGAGCGAGAGAGCACGCGAGAGCATGCACAAGTCGGGAGAGGAGCAGAGGGAGAGGGACAAGACTTCCTGCTGAGTGCGGAGCAGGGCTCAATCCCAGGACTCCAAGACCATGACCTGAGACAAAATCAAGAGTAGGACACTTAACCAACTGAGCCACCCCGGCACCCCAAGAGCAGCTATTTTTATTTTTTTAAAAGATTTTAATTATTTATTCGACAGAGAGAGACACAGTGAGAGAGGGAACACAAGCAGGGGGAGTGGGAGAGGGAGAAGCAGGCTTCCCGCCGAGTGGGGAGCCCGATGCGGGGCTCGATCCCAGGACCCTGGGATCATGACCTGAGCTAAAGGCAGACGCTTAACGACTGAGCCACCCAGGTGCCCCAAGAGCACTATTTTAAATAATTTCCAGAATCAGTACATTTCTCTGTCCTATTTAAGTTTAACTTATTCCATTCAAAACTCTATGCAGTCCTAAAGAAATAAGAAAAGTCCCTGCCCTCCAAAGCCCTATAGTACACATGGGGAAAGAGCTCTCTACTTTTTGTGCAAACTATTGTTTTAAACAAGGTATCCTGCGTAAATACTTGGGCACAACTTAAAAATTCACTGGCTTAAAAATTTTAAAAAATGTTCTAAATAAAGGAATAGTCATGTCTCTTTAATGTAAATGAGCAAGACTCATTAAGGAAAATGTGTAATATTATTCTTCCACCTATGGAGATACAATGCTGAACTAAAAAAATAAGGTCTCTATGACTTACAGAAAAGAAAGCATCTAAAACATATAATGCGATAAAATTTAATGACTGTCACACTAAACGGACAGGATACTACACAACAACATATGGAAATCTAATCTAATTTAAAGTCACTAAACAAGGGGCACCTGGGTGGCTCAGTCATTAAGTGTCTGCCTTCAGCTCAGGTCATGATTCCAGGGTCCTGGGATCGAGCCCCACATCGGGCTCCCTGCTCCGCGGGAAGCCTGCTTCTCCCTCTCCCACCACCCACCCCCGCTTGTGTCCCCTCTCTTGCTGTGTCTCGCTCTGTCAAATAAATAAATAAAATCTTTAAAGTACACATAAACTAACATGTCAGTTAGGCAAGCAAAGAATGATCTGGGTTCTAATGTGGGCAAGGGAGAACGTTCCAGACTGGAAAAACAATATGCATGATATCTTGGCAGTTAATAGAAAGCACAATGCAATTGAGAAACGGGGGGGGGGGGGGAAATGTAGTATATCCCAAATGTAGAGTAGAAGGGAGAGAATGTCAAGGGATGAAGCTAGAGAGGTAGAGGACAGACTAGAGTTTAAAATGTATTCTGGGTATCACAGAAAGCAATTAAAGCAGATGATGACATAAACCAAATGAGAAAAAACAACTAGAAATGTATAAAGAGTACAGCTAGAGTGTGTGTTGTTATGAAAGTCAAGGGAAGTGGGTATATCTAAAAAATTCTCAAATGTGGCAAAACATTAAGCAAAGTGACTACTAAAAAATGACAACTATATGTAAAGCATAAAGCCATAATAAAATCAGCTTCAGTGGAAGAATGGGAAGCAGAAGGCAGACTTAGGATCATGCAGTGAGAATGAATGAGGAAGGGCAGGCAGAGTGTATGGAGACAACTTCTTTAACAAAGACTGTACAAGGAAGAAGGTAAAGGTAGGAGGAGAGATGAAGCTAGACAGATTTGTTTTCTTTTAGTATGGTGCAGA